GAAAATAGCCACTCACCTTATCTTGCCCGTATCTAAAGTTAGAGGAATCATAAAGAAATTTAAAACAACAGGAACAGTGACAAACAAGGCTGAAAGAGGTCCCAAGTTTATCTTGCCACAACGCACTGTGAGGAGGATGCTAAGAAAAGTAAAAAAAAGTCCTAAGCTCACTGTCACAGAATTGCATCAAATAGTGGCATCTTGGGGTCACAAAATCTCCAAAACAACCATCAGACGCTCTCTACATGCCAACAAGATGTTTGGGAGGCATGCTAGGAAAAAGCCTTTTCTCACTAACACTGACAAACGTAAACGTCTGGAGTTTGCCAAGCGGCACTGGGACTTCATCTGGGATCGTGTGCTTTGGTCGGATGAGACTATATTGAGCTTTTTGGCAACAAACACTCTAAGTGGATCTGGTGTAAAACAAAAGATGAGTATGCCGAAAAGTACCTCATGCCCACCGTGAAGTATGGTGGAGGATCTGTGATGCTGTGGGCCTGTTTCTCTTCCAAAGGCCCTGGGAACCTTGTTAGGGTGCATGGCATTATGAACGCTTTGAACTACCAGGACATTTTAAATAAAAACCTGATGGCCTCTGCCAGAAAGCTGAAGATGGGTCGCCATTGGGTCTTTCAGCAGGATAATGATCCAAAACGTGTGGCAAAATCTACACAAAAATGGTTCAGTCACAAACTCAAGGTCCTCCCATGGCCATCTCAGTCCCCAGACCTCAATCCAATGACATTAAAATATAGAATATTACTATTAAGTTCTCTGAAAACAACTATTTTAATTTATTGGCCCCACGTGTAATTATATTTAACTTTTAATAGGAAAAACAATTAATTTCTCAGAAATATACACACACATATATATAGGCCTATGGTATATATATATATATATATATGGTATATGTGTATTATTTATATAAACATATTTATATATGTTTTAAATATAAAAATATTTGTATTTAAAATATTTAATATTAATATATACAGAATATTGACATTAAAATATAGAATATTACTATTAAGTTCTCTGAAAACAATGTGGCAAAATGAAAAAAGATTCCTGTGTGTTGTGGTCAATTCAAATTCAACTTTAGCCAATTCTATTTTAAAGTAACATTAGTTGCAAGTTTCTACATGCACTTTCAACTAACATCACCAGTAAATTATGCATAATTACAATTAACTAACCCTAAACCAAACCCTATATAATCATAAGGTAATATTAAGTGCGGAGTAAAATTTATCAAGCACCTTAAAAGTGTAACCACTTTAAATTATGCATTTTCCTCGACATTGCAAATACAGCGACTTTCATTCACACAGACACACACACACACACACACACACACACACACACTTTGTTGTGAAAACCCTCTTTACCTCCGCATGCATGTTTGTGTGTGAAATGCGGTTTGTGTGATGCCTTATTTGCAGTGCTGGTGTCGTTCACGAGAATCAGGCACGACTCAGGCAATGTGAGAAGAACAGAGTGTACTTCAGCTTCAGAGGCAGAGTGGAAGGGGGCGTGGCCTCTGGAGAGGGGCGGGGCGGGACCGAGGGGCGGGGCCAGTCGAGTGGTGAATGGCATTGACAAACTCTCTCTCTATCTCTCTCTCTCTCTGCTGCTTGTCACACGCGGCCGCATGTGTTCATCACATGGCAGCACACACACACACACACTTCACGCGAGCTGAAATGTGCGGAGCAGAGCCTGAACCACTCGTCTAGACGCACATGGAAACGCACATGCAGAAATGTAAACAAGCGCTTGAAGACACACACACACACACACACAGTGAAGTTTATCACATCGACACAGATCTCGCGAAGATTGTGACGGTCACAGCATCACTAATATCGAAACCTAGAAACAGATGATTACGCAGAAGTCTAATAAACAACGATCTCGTCATCAATCCTTCGCATTACACACATAAATGTGCAAAACAATGTCAATAAAATGTTATAAAAATATATTCTCACTTTTAATAAGCGGACAGATCTCCTAAAATATATATATTTAGTTTATATTTTACCACAAAAAACAATTGTTGTATACAAGTTATATTCACATTACGTGAATTGTATTATTATATCATATTACATGACATTATATTATATTTTCAGTCTGTTATGATTTTGCGCATTATCATTTTTAAGATAATTAAGCACATTTAATTATTAAGCAAAAATGCTAAAATTGTTTTGTGACGTGTTTACATGCCTTGGTAACGTGTTTTTTGTGCTTTTAATTTAAGTATTAAAGTAACTGTAATGTTTTCACTGTAATGCAAATTATTATTATTTATTATTTTTTACCCATTCCGGACTCTGTTTTGTGAGTTACATACACATAATCTACATGCATGTAGGAGTGAACTGGGTGTGTTTGTTACGTCCTCATCATCACAAACATCCATAAAGTAGTGTGTCAATAGGACGAATGTCGCAACTTTTCCACCAACATCAGCCATGAACACACACCATTGAATTTGAATCAAGTCGAAGGTGTAACGCATGTCTTTGGGGATTTGTTAGTCCAGGTTTTGGCGCTGTGGAAGCGTGTGAAAGTCAGTGTGTCGTGAAGGAATGATTGATCAATGTGACGGCTGACTCTGACGGGCCTCAGGAGCTGTCACTCATGTTTGGGCAGATGAGTCGTTCCCTCATACTAGTTTAAATAACAAAATGAACATCAGATTTTTGCTAATGCAGATGCGTTTCGGTCGATCGGATCACAAGTGGAAGAGGTGTAAACAAGCTTTCCACCACTTCCAGAGGGAGTGCTTCATGTAACCACTAAACACTCATATGGTCGAACAGCCCCTAAAGGACGTCTATAGCCTGACGGGATTTAAAGTTTATCGGCTGGAGACCCAGGTTTGGTTTGAAGACGAGAAACGCACCAATCCAATGTTCTCTCACCATTCCTGATTTCTAACACACACTCACAGCGTTCGGCTGGTCTTGAGTCTGTCAGAGCAGAAACTAAAGCTGATGTTTGTCTTCTGTTGTGTTCATATGCAGTGTGAGTTTATTTTGTCCATTAGATGGAAAGATCTGAAAAGTCGCACATAGACCCTCGCCTCGAAGAAACCAGGACAGAAGTGGACAAAAGACACCAGGTGTGAACGGGAATGTGTCTCCCTCGTCCACTAGTGATCCGATCGACCAAAACACATCTACAATTGAATGGTGTTAGTTAATACAAATACACTCAGGTCCATCACATCATATTTGCAGATACAAAGTTTGAATTAAAAAAATTAACTAGTAAATTAAACTAAATGCTATAGGGGTTTTCAATGTTGGAGAAGTTCTTGCTAACTAATAAAACTTCATTGTAAAGTGTTTTGTTCGAGTCAGATTGTGAAAATGTCACAATCATAATACAGGCCCCACTAGAGTCAGTATAAGAAATGCATTTCTGTCTTTATATGCATGCATGATTGAAAAATAATTATATTTTTTCCCCTGCAGCCTCTAGCAACAACAACAAAAAAAAAAACCCGGGAAAGGCAGTATTAATGCATATGCTTCACCACGAGCCACTAAAACACCTCACAACATGGACTTCAAGCTAAAAGAGTCCAAGAGTCCCTCACTTATACGAGCTGTCACTCAAACCCGTGACGATCGACCGGAGATATGCTGGTGAATCTTTAAACGGCTCCAGACAGAGATCCAGTGAACTTTTCATCGAGATATTTATGTATCGTAACATTTGACCACAGAGAGTCACATGACTCACAACTGGTTTCTGATTGGCTGCGGTCATGTTTCCATTCCTGACGGCTAGATTTGATTCATCTTTCCAATCAGAACTAATAATAATAAAGTTTAATATTGTCAGAGAAGGCTTTTCAGCGTCATTGAAGTGGTGCAGAAGTCATTGAACTTTTCATTGGTGATTAACCAAGATGATCAACTCAACTCATAAACATAAAGCCACGACGCGAAGCGGACTCAGCTGTGACTTATAACGTTACACTACCAACGGTTAAAGTTACCACACAATACAAATATTAAAGCCGAAAAATATGTAACTTATCTATGCAACTTTCATGAAGTAAAGTCACTAACAGGCTTCCTGACCATAAACAGCAACAGAAGTCACATACATGATTTCGCCTCTAGATGGCGACAAAGACCCTCTTTATGAGTGAGTCAGTCGGTAGAGAAGACTTTTACATTGAAAAGACTCAAACTTGTAAACACAGAAAAGCAAGACGCAACTGACAAATGACCAGGGCACGGGAAACCCCCTAACTGTTAGGATATCGTAGCAGACATTCAAACGTATTTTTTATTATGAATATAAGACTGACCTGAATGAAAAAACTGCCATGTCTACAGCATAATCCCACGCAGCCGTTATTTTGAGCTCAGAAGCGCGAGGCTCCGGTGGTGGGAAGTAAACCGGAAGTGCCGCCTTTAATCACAGGAGTCGCTAATGCGATGGCGTATTGTCGTGTTTAATGTAAAAAATTAGTTATTCAAAAAATGTACATACATTTCATTCCTACTTTAGACTATATACATTCAAAATAATGTATAAATATATATATATATATATTTTAAACATATAATTTAAAAAGTAAAAAAGAAGCAGGAACAAAGGAGATCCTATATTGGATATTAACATCCAATACTGTAAATCAGCTTCAGGTTGGTAGTCCAAGGCATTGTTGTGTATCTGTTCTTCCCACCGGAGCCTCACTTTCGATTTCAAAATGGCGGCTGCGTGAAATCAGCGTATATCAGAACAAACATATGTTGTTGCTAAGAGTGGTTGCTAGGGGTGTTGTGTAGTGATACATAGAACCGTTGGGTGAAGCGTTCAGAGCCGTGTTTTATCGTGAATAAAGCTATTGACCAGTCAGAAACAAAGATTGGAACTGACCGTTTTATAGTAAGAGTGTATGCGAAGAGAGAAAGCACATTTGTGTGTCCGTGAGCTGGTGGTGTGTGTGATGGGGACATTACCTGCTCTGCTGGGACTCTGGAGGCAGTTCTGGCCCCCGATCCCAGAGTGAACGGAGGTAGTGGCCCGGTTGCTGAGGTCCACCACTGAGGGGGTCGGCGGGGTGGAGGGAGGCTGTGGTGGCAGGGGCTGCTGGGAAGGCTGGTTCTGCTCGCTCTGAGAGTTGGCGGGAATATTGTTCTCCAGCAGAAACTCCTCTAAGTCCATATACTCCAGCTGGAAGTTGTCTCCATCGTACGGCAGGGTTTTGTCCCACAGCGTCGGCCCCAGGAAGGCAGACTGAGGGGTGTTTAGACCGTTTCCATCCTCTTCCAGCTTCTTTTCCTTCTCTTTCCCGAACCCTGGAGGAACAAGATGGAGGCATTATTGTCGCCGTTCAAACACAAGCACACAGTTTTTCCACACATATATGAATTGCATTTTTCATTCAACAAAAGCTGATGCTCACAGGAGGCACGGTCATGAATGTTGTGCTGACGATTATTCATTATTCTTTCATCTAATAATTGCAATTAATGATCTGATTCAGTTTTGTTCATGTAACTTAAATTGTAAGCCAGATACATTATTTTTTTTTACTCTAAATTCTATATACTGTAATAATAAAAATTATAATAAAATAGGCTCATTTAATTTATTTTAAATATAATATAATATAATATAATGCAGTCTGATTTAAACCCACAAACCTTAATTTTGTACGAAGGAAGACCTTTATCTATTGTTGTGTACTTTACAATAGTGTTTGTTTGTTGTTATATATAAAATATATTTACAATGTGCAGTTCCAATGCATTTCAAATGCACTTTATTCAAGATCATAAAATATCTTACTTTTAGTCATTTCAAGCTCAGTTGTGCCAGTCACTTGCACTGGGAAAGATTGGCTGCTTTCCAGCATTTCTCATTAAGCATTCCAGAGAACAAACAAAGTACAGTTTTGCAATGACATGAGGGGTGAACTAATAAAAGAAATGCCACCAAATCAACATATTTAGTGTGCAAACTGAAAGCTCAGATTATCATGCTAATGAATGTCCTCCTTGGGTGCAACCAAATATAAAAACAACTTTTTATTTATGCTTTACATATGTGATAATGACTGATAAAGCACAAACACAAATCAAAAGTGGCGCTCAGTGGCGCCCTCTAAAGGGAAATTTGAGAATATCATCTCCATTGCGTGCGAACTTCATCTTTCCGCATAAAGTCGGTATTGGTGAAGTAGAGTCTATTTATTCCTCTTATATATGAGCAAATGTTGTAATATAAGCATATTTTAAACAGATAACATCACGCATTTCGGTTAAATACACGCGCAATGGATCTATGTGTGTGCGTAAAATGATTGCAATGCAAAAAAAAAAAAAAAATCAATAAACATAAACTTGCAGCCCAAAATCACATCAGAATTCAAAGTGATTGTCCATGACAGCATGCATGCATGAGCAGGGACTGGTTAAGGTGTGAGAGCACAGTGACAGACGCGCTTTTACGCGCAGATTATACTGAAAGCAAAGCGCGCACCGCGCCTGACAAACATCAGCTGGTGCAGAACACGCTTTAACCCCCCAAAAGCAACATCTATCCATCTGTATACCTTCATCGTGATGAAAGGGCAGTTTAGTGGGGTTCTCCAGCAGGGATTTCAAGACGCCGTGAGTCGGAGGTAGGAAAGTTGGGTTTATAGAAAGAGGTCGAGACATCTTCTCCATGGCGTAAAGGAAAGAACAATCTTCCTGGAGAAATGAAATAATAATAATAATAAAAAAGATGTATAAAAATAAAAACTCTGCAGTAGGGTACGGGAATAGAGTCCTCAGCCCGTGCGCGGCACCGATGAGCGGCGGCTGGTCTCGCGCGTCCGTGAGTTCGTCAGGCTGGAGCGCAAAAGCGCAACTGATTCGCTATCCCATGTGCGAACACTGACGTCCGTGACGTCAAAGAACAGGGCAAGCTACTGAATAAAGCCCTGGCCAATGAGAGCGCTGGGGGCGTGGCCCTCCTCTCCCTCCCTCCCGACTCCATACATTGTTGCACGTTCACGATTACATTCTTTTTGGGATTCAACAATGTTACTTTGTAACCAATGCAGGACATTCGTTGTTTTTATATCGATTGAAAAAGAAAATGAGAAATGTGAGAGGAAATATGAAAAAACTTAGAAGGCTGTTCTAATTTTAGTCAAATATTTTAATTGTTTTAGTTAAGCCAACGCACAGTAAAAAAAACAAAAACCGTTAGATTATTTTTTTTTTACCCAACTTTACACATATTGGGTCACGACGTTGGGTAATTTTCCAAAAAATGTTGGGTCATTTTTTAAACAATTGGGTAATTTCTAGTAATGACCCAGCTGTTGGGTTAACTTAAATGCGTATGTTTTCACGTCATGTATACAATTATGTCAGTTCTAGACACCCCAATATTTCGTTTGTATTTTAAAAATATATTTGTTGAGACATGTTTATTGTTTTATACAAATAAACAATCAGTATTTAAAAACAAAGTGCATTTTATTTATCAAAATAATGTTATAAATAAAAATTAAATAGTTAACTGTTGGGTTGATTTCCCACAGTTGGGAAGGTGCTATACCACCGCATGGTTGGGTTATTTTAACCCAAAAATATTAAGAGAGTGCCTATGATGCCTTACAGTACTGCCTACTTAACAATTGTGGAACAATAGTTACATTTAGCCTACCAATTAGATGTTGATATAGCTACACAAAGTGATTTGACTGTAGCTGGACTGAAATTGTAATACACCCTCCCGCATTCCACACTTCTCTAAACACAAAATCAATTTCTTGGAATGGCCAATACTCCGTGACTACACAGTAACAGCCAGTGCCAGTGACCAGCAGTCAGCGGAACAAGAGCGCGCACGCGTCTGATTGGTCGAGTGTTGCGTGCGCGGAACACAACGTCCAATCACAGTGCGTGTGGTGAGAATTGCGGTGAGTTAAGGAACGCCGGAGCATCGCTCAGCCCTCGGGTGGAACTGACCTAGTTTTGTCCAATAGCAGAAGCCAGTCGGTAATTCCGGTGAGATCAGTACGGGCCACGGCACATTGAATGTCATGTGTTCGTGATCCCTGTAGAGTGAGTCTGTGAAAATAACTGCACCTCAGCATTCATGTCTGCACATTTACACTCATGATTTATATTTATTCATTTAGCTGACGCTTTTATCCAAAGCGACTTACAAGTGCTGTATATGTCAGAGGTCGCACGCCTGGAGCAACTAGGGGTTAAGTGTCTTGCTCAGGGACACCAAAGGTATACGTGTTTTACCCACTGTGTCGTCACCACAACATATCAGATCAAAAATGATCAAAATCATATAAGAAGGTTTTCATGAAGATCGATTCCGTGGATAAAAATGTGCAAGTATAGCCTATAGTCTAATGTGGGTGGTTTAAAATAATAATAAAAAAATGTATTTCCAAAAAGATGTGCACCAGCTACATGAGCGCGACAGTGTGTGTGTGTGTGTGTGTGTGTGTGCGAGAGAGAGTGTCATGCTTAGCAACTGCGGTTGCCACAACAAAGGACTGTTGTGACGACGTGCATAAAAGTAGGACACACACACACACACACACACCCAGTGACAGTAGAGAATACACGCGAGAGACCAGCACACATCATCACCATCATCGTCATCTTACAGCAGCTGTAAACGCTCACTGAGACTCATTCACAAGCAACAGAAGCGACACTGCAGAGACGACAAGAGGATCTATCTATCTATCTATCTATCTATCTATCTATCTATCTATCTATCTATCTATCTATCTATCTATCTATCTATCTATCTATCTATCTATCTATCTATCTATCTATCTATCTATCTATCTATCTATCATCCATCCATCCATCCATCCATCCATCCATCCATCCATCCATCTATCTATCTATCTATCTATCTATCATCCACCCATCCATCTATCTATCTATCTATCTATCTATCTATCTATCTATCTATCTATCTATCATCCACCCATCCATCTATCTATCCATCCATCCACCCATCCATCTATCTATCCATCCATCCATCTATCTATCATCCATCCATCCATCCATCCATCCATCCATCCATCCATCTATCTATCTATCTATCTATCTATCTATCTATCTATCTATCTATCTATCTATCTATCTATCATCCACCCATCCACCCATCCATCCATCCATCCATCCATCCATCCATCCATCCATCCATCCATCCATCTATCTATCTATCTATCCATCCATCCATCCATCCATCCATCCATCCATCCATCCCTTTTCCCACATGGATTGTAATGTATTGTATTATATTCTAAACAACAACTTAGAGAAATGAGCTAGTTCCCACAGATTGTGGAGTAACAGTGGCACAGATGGGTGATCTCATCTCTTCTCAGCCATGAGAAATAAAATATGATGCAGAGGAATCGCACACGGAGGAAGCGCTGAGACTGCAGTGTCAGTGGTGTGTCACCTGCATTCTCCCGTCTGAGAAAAAGCCTACGAAACGACAGATTCGCAATTACAGAGGTGTCATCCAATTAAATGCCATAGTTGAATCTGTATCAATGTCTAAATATAGTAAGATACACTGACTGAAGTATGTAATGAATATGCTGGTTAAGATGCAGACCTCACTCACTTACTCTCTCTCGCACTCACTCTCACTCTCATTAACTCACTCGCTCACTCACACACACAATTTCTCATTCACTCACTCGCTCACTCACACACACAATCTCTCATTCACTCACTCGCTCACTCATGAACTCACTCACACACACACACACACACACACACACACACACATTAACTTGCTCACTCTCTCACTCACACAATCTCACTCACTCACTCTCTCACACACTCATTCACACAATCACTCACTCACTAACTCGCTCACTCTCTCTCACACAATCTCACTAACTCACTCATTTACAGAATCACTCACTCACTCACTAATTCACTCACTCACTAACTCACTCACTAACTAACTCACTCACTCATTTACACAATCACTCACTCATTTACACAATCACTCACTCACTTGCTCACTCACTCACTCGCTCACTTGCTCACTCACTCACTCACTCACTCACCCACTCATTCATTTACACAATCACTCACTCAATCACTCACTCACTCACTCGCTCGCTCACTCACTCACTCACACAATCACTCACTAACTCACGCACACACTCACTCACTCATTCACTCACTCACTCAATCACTCACTCACACAATCACTCACTAACTCACACACTCACTCACTAACTCACTCATTTACACAATCACTCACTCACACAATCACTCACACACACTCACTCACTCACTCAATCATCCACTCACTCACACAATCACTCACTCACTCAACCTCTCACTCACTCACAATCACTCACTCACACAATCACTCACTCACTCAACCTCTCACTCACTCACAATCACTCACTCACTCATTTACACAATCACTCACTCACTCAATCACTCACTCGCTCGCTCACTCACTTACTCACTCAATCACTCACTCATTTACACAATCACTCACTCACACAATCACTCACACACTCACTTACTCACTCATTCACTCACTCACTCATTCACTCACTCACTCATTTACACAATCACTCACTAACTCACTCACTCACACACACACACACACACTCACTCACTCACTCAATCACTCACTCACACAGTCACTCACAATCACTCACTCACAACTCACTCACTCACTCTCTCTCTCTCTCTCTCTCAGTCACAGGTGTATGACCGCTAATCCTGGGACCAGCGCTCTGCAGTCTCATCTTCTGTCAGATCCCGTCTCCTTTCACCCACTGCTTCCTACAGCGTGTACTGCATTCTTTCTGAAGGCCTGCCTGAATCACAGAGGGGAAAGTAGTAAAAATAGCCACATTTCTAGTGGGAGTTGAGTGCATTCATTCACGCTGCAGCACATCCCATAGAAATACTGGACAGCGCATATACTGGATGCGATAACCCATAACTGCAGCAATGTTTGTGTCTTAAATAGTTTATAAATTGATATCTCATAAAATAACACACTACCATTCACATGTGTGGGGTCCCTTTTAGAAAGAAAATAATCATTTTTTTCATCAGGAACACGTTCATTTAATCAAAAGTGAACTTTGTCAAACTGGTTACACTTTATTTTAAGGTGGCATTGTTACAGAGTATGAACCAAGTAATAATAATTAACAACATGTATTAACTAGAGTAGTTTAGTTGCATGTAATTACGCATAATTTACTGTTATCACTATGATAAGTGCATGCAAATCACGTAAAAAGGACACTGTCTTTATGACAAATATTGCCTATACCTTTAAATGCTGGGAAGGGACGCTTTTGACGACAGAAACGTGTGATCAAAATTATCAGTTGAGGAAAAGAAATGAAGATGAAACGGTTAAATAGCTACTTCACCCAGCAGTTTCCTGTAAATCTTTTGAGTGATTGTTTGCGCATGAATTCTTTCATGCAATGTTTTGCCTTTGGTTATTGCACTAGTAATAAAATACTACAATTTTAATGAGATTCCCTTTGGTGTTCATTAAAACAAATGTAGTTTCAAATGTTACGTCAGTGAATTAAATGCTAAATGTTTAATCATGTTTCAGGTTCATCAATCACCAACTCGTTGTGCTACTTTTAGACGTTTCCCAGTTTCCTTGCTCTTCATTTCCTTGAGATCCTCCCCTTTGGTTTACAGGTAAGTCACTCCTACAAGATCAATGAGAAGAATGACAAAAAACAACAACCTTTGAGTCAATAAAACACGTCAAGCATTCAAAAATAACACACACTTGGAAACAATACGGCTTCTACCACGTTTCCTCAATACGCTCAGTGACGTTCTATTTAGAACTCTAAAGTTCTAAAGTTCTATGTATGATGCGTCT